TAAATATTTACTGTGAACCATGCTATCGATTGTTGTACCCGCTATTATATTACTATCAAAGAATCGCCCGCCTCAGTCGCAGCTGGTGGTACTTAAGTCCCACAGCAGAAAGCTTGCAGAAGCTGCGATACTCGCATGTATTTCTGGGAAAGCACCAGTGGGTGAGTGTGTATAGCTGACGACAGCTTGTATGTACAGTCATAGACGTGCTTATTGCCCAGGGTAACAACAGAGGGGTTGTGTTTGCCACTGCAGACAGATCGTACATGCTGCGGTAAACGGCATGCATAGTAAAATTCGGTGCATGTATAGTGTACTGTACGGTGGGAAATTTGCTGAACCAGCGATGGGTATGTACAGCAATGGACGACGTCTATGTGCAACACCGATAGACACGTGTGTGCTGTTGTTGCCGCTTTGTCTGTGATACACTGCACGCTACATGTGTGCTGTACTGCCTTCTTCCGTGGTCAAGGCAAGGCGTAATCTTGCGTGCGGAACGAGAAGATTGCCGGGCCTCAACGTGGGCCAGTTTGATGGAACAATGAATATATGACACGTTCTGCGCTATACCAGGCCTGTCCATATCACAGTCTTAAGTTCATACGACTACTTAGAATTCGCCTTGTGGATAAATCATGCTGTGTCCATCGCAAGTTAGCTGAAAGAAGCACCGATGACTGCATGGATGTACTAGAGCCTGTAGATGTCATTGAGTGTATGTAGACGGGTGTCTACACCAATCAAACAGCTCCCATCAAGCCGCGCATGTCACAAACTAGGCGCTCGCAGGCAGCTATTCACTATTTGGTCGATCTACTAATCCTCAAATGTCAAGCTTCGGCAGCAGTATTTCTACGATGACCTTCTAATTTACTCTAGATCACCATAAGTGCACACCGCGTTGACGATTGTTTCTAAAGCGTTCACTGAGGCCAGACAGATCACTCGTCATCATCGGCATATTCGTATTCTTCGGCTGCTTCGACATCTGGTACGAGCTAGTTGACGGGCCGTTGTGATGGTTGGAGTGAAAATACAAGTCAGCTACGTTGTTAAAAGATTATATACATACCCTATAGTGTATCATATGTAGCTACACGTTTGCAGTGGAGTTAGCTCTCGGCTCGAACGCGAACGCTGTAAATCCTGATATAAATCCTGGTGATAACGCATCACAATGCCACCGAAAATTATCGTAGTTACCACCCAGACCACTATTGTACAGGCACATACGAAAATACCTACCCAGTACTCAACAAAGCTCTGCTGCCCCACATCGTGTTCAATCATGAACTGCAAGGAGAGAAATCCTCTCGCGTTCATTCTCATACTCACTTTGGATGCTACGGACATGGCCTTGAGGCAGTGTCGCATGCTAGACAGGAGGTACCTGTTCGAATAGAAGAAAATCGATCAGATATATGTCAAATACATTTCAGTTATTAGACATGACTAAAAAATCACGGAAATCGAACCCCCGCTTTCCGTGCGTAGGCCATGTTTTGTACAAGCTCCACGCATGAGCTTGATGAAAGATAGAAATAATCAACTTATAAATACAAACAAAAATTAAGACCTAAAATACGAGAGGACCCTGCACACGCATTCTCACCATTATTCACACTTGTATATATGCAATAACACGATCTCAGTGGAGCTCAGACACGATCTCTCCGAGAGCAAGCACTCTGGTACAAGACAAAAAGTCTACTAATCCTCGTTGAGTGTATACACACACATACTGTCCCGATTGGGTCCGCACGCTCTCTAACGACTCCACGACCTCGCACTCGGGCGGAAAGCTCACCTGTGTCGCCGACGTGATAAATTTGTTGACATGTTTATAAACTCATGCTAATATGTACAGCATACACGCAGGCTAAATTGTGGACCCATCGATTTAACATTAAACGCAGACCTTCTCCAAATAACATATAAATGTGTCGGAAATCTCAGCTGATCCATCCGCGATCTGACCGCAGATGTTGTCGATTCTCCGTCGCATAACAAAGAGCTTATGCAACATCGATATGCAGAAGATACTGGCATCTCATACTTTCACCGTGCTAATCACGTTACGAGATTGTCAATTAAATTATACACACCATTGACATGTGCGACTGATATTTTAAAGGACACTAGTATTGCTGGCCGACTTCTGGGATTAGAAACCAAACAATGAAAGCATACCTCACAGCTACCAGCTACATTCGAAGTGGAGAATCGAAGGCAAGGATCCTGTGCTGAAATATATACGTCAAACTGTCCGTGCTTATCGCCAATGGTCATCTCCGAGAATATGGGCCTCAGAGCTTCCGCCTAACGTGATACAGAACAATTCATAAGCACAATATAGCAAACTGGGAAGACAGTCATAAGGGTAGATATGTGTATGAAACAAACCAATACAGTGTAAGTAGACAAAAAGCAATTAGAACGATATAGTATTAGATATAACAGCCTACTGTAGTAATCATTACACACAAAAGTCTTGTGCAGGAGAGAGCAATCTATTTGAGAAACACATGAATTGGACCTAACGACCGCGCAGGCATGTTCACAAATGAGCAAATTGTGCTGATACATTGAATATCTAAGTACACAGGATCAATATCGGATTGAGTATTCTAATCACTTCGCAATCACACAACCTGAAAAGATGTCGCGGCATTCGCATATTCCTGTGCGCACAGTTCAACTAGCTGAACCAACTTAGATATATATAGTGGTACGTTCAAATGTAAAATCCACTTGTTTGTGTACATAGTTTTAGAATATCCTACAAACGCACTATTTGATTCTGCGATTTCATTTTATCTGTCTACTTGAGTTTCTCTGCTAACGAACAAGGACATGGCGTGCCTTTTTCCGACAATGTGATTCCCACTGTTCGACCCTGTGTAGTATCACTTTTACCAGATAACTTTTGTACAAACGTCAGTGCACACTTCTATAAAGAGTATATCCGAGATGTTATACGTGAGATAGATGATTTCTTTGACCTCATACCTATTCACACTTTGCTCGGTACGTATAATCGAAAATGTGTAAATACTTTCTCATTATGGGTAGCAAAAAATGAGGCTTTTATGAGAGGCATACGCGGTGTATAGATGAAGTTTGTATAAGTACACAGCGCAGTATCAACGCAAAACTAAGATTAAATATTTATGGTATATCTTATACATATCAAATCATGCACTCTCATGCTTGTAGCGTAACACAAGTGCGTACCATTGTGGGGCCTGGCCCAAGCGATCGATGCAGATACGTACAAGTGAGTGGCGGCCAGTATTTCGTGAGATGTTCGAATCACGCTCATATTAAACAAACCGGACACACAACTCAGTTGAGACAGTAGAAATACAACTCCCACGAATTCTACCAAATTATAGATAAAATCAAAACAGTTGGGTACACTGTGATTAGGACCATTTCAATTGCACCTACCTGTAAAATGACTTTATTATACACCTCGGAACCACGAAAGTTCATATCTTCAGCATACATTCCCTCCATGGTGTGTATATTACAAGTGGTGCAAACATTCCTCTCAGCCAACTTCAACTCAAGCGGATTCCCATAACCAGGGTAGCAGATGCGGAGCGATGTGCTCTGGCTATTCGCGGTTGTGGCTCCAAATATACTCAAGCATTCGATCAGAACATCCAGGTTAATTGCGAAATCGCACTTGGATCGACATTCGTACTCGTCAAACAAATCGGCCTTCACAAACGCGCTAGTCTGTGCACTACCCTTGTCATTCACTGTGAAGCGGAGGCCTCTCTCACTCACCACACAGGTTGCTTTCTATCAGGAAGAAATCGAATAAGACTTTAGACAAATTACGTATGTGTACAGACAACTACGTCGTGAAAATAAACGTGTTGTACAATTATTCATGTATGATGTTGGGTCATATGGACCAATAGATAGACTGGCATAAATGCCAGGCAAGCAAGCATAATCCGAAGCGACAGTACAGTACGTTATAAAACCACATTAAAAGGCAGTGAAACACACATGGGAGAATTATAGACACCCCACCCGGGTACAGCCAGAAGTGCAAAAACTAACCAATATAGGATAGAAAATTGAATAGCCTGTTCAAAATCTGTATAATTACTCGAGGCACTGCAACGCATGATTCACAGGCCATGAAAAATAGCAGATGCCATCGCCCTCTAAGTCAGAACTAAACACAGGCCAACTTAATTGCAGATGTGCACTACCATTAGACGTAGTATCACATAAATCAATTCAATTTATCAAAGCAGCTCTTGACTCCCACCTACGGCCATCGTATGTGATCAAACAAGGTAAACCGTGATGTGTACTTGAATTACCGCTACTTATACTTTGTTAATAAGACAACTCCAAGTAAAAGCATGAATGGTGACGCACTGTACCTCATTCAGATGCACAGCCTTCAGCATCACTAAGAGCTTCCTTGGACTGTCTAGAGTGGCTAGGAGGATAGGCAAAGGATTACTGTCAAAGCCAGCCTCATCCTCATAACTGTCGGACATTGTCGCGACAACAGATATTCGAGTCCTCTATAAACTATTGGCAATCAGAGTCAGTCAGAGATTGTGGCATTGGGAGAGGTTGAGAGCTTGTTCGCACATAAGATATTGATATAATGATTGTACAGTTGAGCACATTGCACAATAGAGATATTATAGTTGCATTTTTGTATAGCAGAGGATAATCTGTTGATAGAGTAGAAGAAAAAAATACATAGCCGATGGTGAATGGTCCGCTCTTAATTTTACCCGCTAAAACATACACGTAATACACAGTTGACAGCACTAACTGTGTACCGGCCAGAGACTCAGAGCAAATAGAAAACGCCAGAGATCTCGTCGATAAAAGTGCGAATTTCGTGGGCTGCTTTCAACCGATATTCAACTCTTGTGACAATTTCAATGGGTCATAGGTACTGATATCTGATCCTGAAGATATGTAAGAATATGTTGTTGCAATCTCTGAAGTGTGTTGTCTCCGCATTCTAACACTGTATGCACCGCAGCTATGATGCAACCCAATACAGCTAATTTACAAGGGTACAACTTTTCTGATTACGGGCAACAGGCATCTGATGTACAACGCACTCAAAGGCATATGCCACCGCTGTATACGCCGGCTAATCCAGTTTTTCAGTTACCTGTCGATAGCAACATAGCATCTTACACAGGATCATATGGTCCTGTCTCCGTATGTCAACTACATTCGCGTATCGTTAATTTCGTGCTCTAGATTCGCTTACTTTTATATAAACAGCGGCCGCATCGCTTTGAAGTTCGATTCCCTGTAAACTCGAACAACGAACTCGGTACAACGGGTACTTGTTTACGTGGAATATCAATATTTTGTGCACATATACCAGGTTTTTGACATCGGTAGAATTTTCGATGCGAGTCACAATGCTCCATCGATTCCTTTAGCAAGAATAGGCGTCCCTACACTTACAAGGGCGACTATACGAGGTCACGACTTCATACCCTTACTCCTTGGAACGGTCTTCGCAACACCTGGGTATGTTAATCAATACAGGTTGCGTGAGACCTTGAATATTTTCGTCATACAGTTATTTTACGTGTTTCTCACTGCTGATGGGTTTTAGCTTCAAATTCCGTCAGAAACGCCACCCACGCGACAAATCGACTCGTGCCTAGCTTATACGAATATGAAACGGGACAGTGCTTTGTGCTTCCAGTGAGTACAGAGAAGGACGACACGCAGACAAAAACATCTCAAAGTACAGGTACCAGAGATAAGCTGCTAATCGCCGATGTTTTATTATTGATTGTGACAATTGGAGTCCCTTGCATTTTACAATATTGACACGTGCTCATAGCAAGCTTTCGCTTTGTTGATGATCAGGTTATCAGCATATCAGAGTCGCTGAGAGGATACGTGAGATCAAATGGATCGAAGAAACTGATATCTTCGTAACTGCCTATGGAAAAATTATATCTACATATAAGTGGGCAATGGACACAGAAGAATCCATAATGGGAGGCGCCGTTCTCTCTGCTACTGAAAGCAATTTGCACGCATCTGACATCAGGACATTAGACACTGAGTCTTTTAGCAAAAGAATCATTTCAGGTGGATTCGACGGACAGTTATACATCACAGCGCTTGAGAGGAGTGGTCAGTCGAGTGGGCATGTTCTGTCCAAATATAATAGTAGTGCAATGGACTCGGCAAATATATCAACTGGCACAATTCTGCGACAACGACGTTTTCCATCCGTAATTTCAAGTGTGTCCTTGTTCTCCGGTGGGCAAACGGGAGCAGTTACGACCGACAATGGCTCAGTCATGCTAATTGACACACGCAGCCCCCGACTGATAGCATTTCAGTACGACGAAAAAGTGACAACTTTCGGTATGTTCGGCTTAAGCATCTCTTTGTGCGTAACATTTAGGTCGAGATTGAGTCAAGACAATCTGCACTTTACTTACGATGCTATTTTTACTCAGAAACATACTCTGCTCAATATTGTAGGTGAACGGAAGGCACCGCTTTACACGCACGTGTTTTCGTCTGACGCTCAGGCATATCTTGGCTACGACGGCGGAGAAATTCGGATACTCGATACACGGGTAGGAGATATAGTAGGCAGGTAAGTGGATTGTCACTCTTTTCAGATTGCCTTTCGTCGAAGTCAGGGTTCCTAATGATAACTTTATTATAGAGTGGGTGTAGAAACATGCAGTAGGGTGTTGTCCGTTTGTGTTAGACGAGCCGGATCAAACAAACAATGCTCATCCAGAGACAGCAAGTGTTACATGCTTTTTAGTTGTAAATCAACTGACTCGGAAATTCAGAATATATTAATTTACACGTCGGAATAGAAGGAAAGATTCAGTATTGAAAGCGATTGGTGATCTCAGCTTGAGTGCGAATGGTAGCCTGTGCGCAACCGGCTATGGAGGGTAAGTCTCAATGTCAAGTTTATTGTCGCGAATCGTGATGCAGACCATTTAGGAAAGAGTTTTATTCGTGCTCCTCATTGGTTTGATGCAAATAGACTACCTTATTTCTCTCCACGTGCATGTAGAGTATCTTTTTCGAACGCGAGTGCAAGCAATCTAGACTGGGAAAGACAAAGCTCGCACTGTCATGTATCGACCGACGCGATGGGCGGACTGGAGACCACTAGTGGTGCTTGGCTCGAGCTGGAAAATGGAAAATCACAATTTTTCGTGGCCGACGACTGTGGTCACCTGTCAGTCTTCAACGATCCCTACGAGCAAATAGTGTCACCGGATCGCCATTATTAGCGAGGACGTCTCCGAGTCTTTCTCTCAATCAATTGCTAAAATGTGATTTTTGCTTTTTTTTCTTCTCAAAAAAGTAAATATATACATTCTTCTGCTCTCGTCAGGCGTTAGCCGATAGGAGAGACAGACTGTCCATAGTCCAGACGCCTCACTCCAGAGTCCAGAGCTAAGTCCGTAAATATTTTGCCTGTTTGCACTTTGAACATAAACAGGCGCAACAAGAGAGTTTGCAACTATAATACATATAAATGATACAGGGTGTCCTGAACTGCTGGCTGCTGAGTTGCTGACCACTGTATGTCAGTAGTACTGTAAATAAATATGTACATTTTTATATTATAAATAAATATGTATTTACTTCCCTTCGAAGCTATTTTTTTTTTTAAATGTATTTTTTTTATTAAAACAAAAAGACATTCCGTATTTCTGATGCTGGGATATATATTCCAGATTCTGCAAAAAGAACAGACACTCTCTTTTTAGTTTTTTAAATACTTTTAATTTTTTGAGTTTTGGCCTTTCGACTTTCGTGCTTCGCAACTGTGCACGTGTTCTCCTGTACACCATGGGAGAACCAATTCACTTTAAGAATCAAACATACAAACCGGAACGATGGTATTTATCATGTTCCGATTGGCGTTTGGTTCAAAAAAATGTTTATAGGTCTTGTATAGGGCATAGGCCCATAAATTTTAGAATAGGGAAAAGATTCGAATTATTTTTTTAACAGAGACAATCACATTTATACATATGTACTTGCTTTTTTTTTAAATTTACACTCAGAGTCTCAGACTCTCAGTCCGGGACTCGTCGCTCGAGAGATGGAGAGAATGTGTGTGTGAACGAGAGAATCTGCGAATTTGAAGTGTGAGAGAATGTGAGTGTGCGAGACGGTGAGAGTGAGATTGTAAGGCGGTGAAAGACTGATGGGATACCCGAGAATGTGAACGATATAGTTACAGCTGAGATATCTAGTAGAAGTTATTTTTATTTTTTTTAGAGTACAACAAAAACACCATTCAACAGGATGGGAACCCAATTTCTAAAATCTATTGATAACATGAGTCTTAGAAATTGGCTGGCATGTCGATCTTTGCCCTCAAAAATCCAAAATTCGTACTGCAAGGTAGGTTCCACCACAAACGGCCAAATTTTCATGATTTTGTCAAAACTAGATTTTGAACTATGGACAAATCCAAAAATGTGTCCCGGTGATTTTCTCAATCAGGTCTTTGTGAGCATATTCCGCTATCAAACGTCCGAATCGGGTCACTATTAGTGTGTGTTGTGCCTGGCTGAAGTAGGGGTGGTTTCTTGTACTAAAACCCTATCGCACCTGAATCTGATATTTTGATTTTCGACCTGTTATTTATAGGCCCGGAGCGGATCAGTGTATGTACCATAGCCTCCATACTCCATACTCCATAGGGCATATTTTTAGGCCCATCGCCTTTCAAATTTTAAAAGTAATAGAGAGACAGGATGTTTTATTATTTATGTTTATTTTTGTGCCAGATAAACTTTTTTTCTTCTATCTGACAGATCACTTTCAAGATTCAATACGTACTTCTATCCATTTAATAGGATAAAATCTGCGCACATACAACAAAGTATGTGCAGTCAAAAGTAAATTAGACGTTCGAAATGTTTTAAATGGCCTTTTGTTTTGTAACAAAATAGGGCTTTTTTGGTTGATAAAACCAAAGCAAATAATTTAAAATAAAAGATAGGGCCGCTTTTGCCAACTTCGGAAAAATATACGAAAATACTGTCTAAAAAAGTATGGCTCAGTATTTTTTTATATATCTTTTGGAAAATAGGACATGACAATTTCTGGAAAATTTTGAAATATAGCGCCGAATATATTTTAAATTATGGATGAATATTCTCTGAGTGTTTCAATTTGAACAGTTGGCTAAAGCAAGAATAAAAGGATTTTATTGGACTTTCATTTCCAAACATTTCTATTGGATCTCATGTATCGTTATATAATTTTGGCGGTCTCGCATACACGTCAGTTTGTTTGACACTTTTGTAGAATATTTTTCTGTTGGTTACGTATATGTACGCATATATTCGCGACTATAAATAGGCGAGCCATTTGCTGCTAACTTACTTGCAACTGGCATTCTTCGCACTCTTCCTCGGAGCCTGTTTCCCCGCACATCCTACCCAAGCCCCAACAAAGCGTAATATATTTACAAGAAGATGAAGATATAAGAGAACTTGAGAATACGTACATATACATAATTTACATATTTACAAATAGAAGTGCCAAAAACTCAAAACTCGCACGTGTTTTGTGATATACTTTGTCGCGCTCAAAAGCCAAAAAGTATTCCGAAATTAGAATGCTCTTTCTTCATTCATTTTCAAACTAATATACAATAAAATGAAATACTGCTTCAATATTTTTACGTCGTAAAATGTAAAATTTGGAACTGGCAAAAGCAACGGAATTAACAATTTATGAAATATTGAAGTTTTGAAATACTGAAAAATGAAATTCAAAATTTCTTCAATATTTTGAAATTATGAAGAAATTATAGACTCGCGTAAAAAAAATATGGATATAGTTACCGGAGTAAGGTATTTGTGTATTCATCATCAAACGATGGCAAAACCGGCCTAAATAAATACTACTCTTAATCTCTGGTGTACTCTTGATATACAAAATAAAAATTTAGAAAATCAACGCTCTCGCGTCATCACATGTCCTTCAAATTGTATCAAAATAACAATGTAAAATACCGAATATCTCTAGACTCTAGAGAGGTGTTGAATTTGATGCAATCTAAAATCGGCCCTGGCAGTCTGGCACGGGCTGGCACTTGGCAGTCTAGTAGACTATCTCTAGGTCTAGAGTCTAGTAGACAATTTAAGAAATATTGAAGATTTAAAATACTGAAAAATGAAATTCAAAATTTCTTCATTATTTTGACATTATGAAGAATTTTTGGACTCGCAAAATTTTTATTGATTTAGCTACCGGAGTAAGGTATTTTGCTCTTTGTGTCTTCATCATCAAAAGATGGCAAAAACGGCCTAAATAAATACAACTCTTAATCTCTGGCGAACTCTTGATATACAAAATAAAAATATAGAAAATTGACGCTCTCGCGTCATCACATGTCCATCAAATTGTAGTCACAACAGTCTACACTCCACAGTCTGTATCACTGAGACCATCCTCCACATTCCACAGTCCACAAGTTCGTGTTGTCACAACTCACAAGCCTACTTTTTGAAAGAAACCTAAAAAGGCATCATGTGTCGAATCATACAATTACCACGCAAAGTGAAGCCAAGTTTAATTTAAATTGATTAACAGGTATTTTGTGGAAAGGCACTGCGTTGAATTTAGCAATTTTTCAAATATACCAAACCACGCCAAGTGATAAGAGACAAAACGTATCATTATTGAATGTCTGAGAACTATGATTCGGCTGACGGGACTAGGATCGGCTGACGTGAATCACGAACTATCGAAATAAAGCGAATTATCGAGGACGAGCGAAATTTGTCGGATTTTGATATTTTTATTCTTTTAGTATTTCAAATACAAGGTTGCGATGAAGCTCAAACCATGGTCTGACTTCCTTTTTTTTGGTTCCGGATGTCCACAGTCTCAGACATCGCCTTAATAATAGGTCCGTTATCAGTCTCTCAATGGTACTCAGCTGTTGAACGCCCCAAAGCTGTAAGTGACTATGGGCATGCCTTCCTGGTGCTGTAATAAAGGCCGTAACTCGGCTACATTGATGCCCCACCGGAAACGGATGTTGACGTAAAAACGTGTGTTGCTGGCGAGAACGCCATACTTCCCTTTCCTTGGTTGGGTTGTGTGTGCGTCCACTCTATCCCTCGCGTAACTGCCGTGTCCATCTACAGGGTAAGTAAATAACAGGAGATAGATACTAAGTATACAGGCACAAGTGCAACTAGAACACCCTACACTGCGAGAAGCACACAACCGAGTAAAACCGAGTTTCACAGAAAAGAACCAAAACAGGCGAATAAGTTGAAATGTACATGAATATTGTATCCGACGAGCTATAAATTGGTTTGTATTAATACCAGCTATAGACTGGGATATCATAATATAGACTAGTATATGCAAGATACAAGACAGCTCACAGGATGTCTGAATTCGAAATATGGCACAGCATAGATACGGGACACCTGGTACTCAATTACTGTCCTGCATACCTGATCACACCACTCCATAACCAGGTTATTCAACATCGCTACAATCAAGCGCACGACGAAGATGACGAAGAAGATGGAGGCGGCGGTATGCGAGTCAAAGCTTTTGAATGTCTTCCGTCTCGACCCGTATGATTTCCCAGTGTCGTACGACTCCATATTGATTTCCTTGTGTTTGGCACTGACACTTGCGTTTAAAATGTACAAACTCTACAGCGTGGATTGAAGCAGCTGAATGTAGTATTTTCTTCATGTACCTCTTTCTTTAAAAAAATTGTAGTTTATATCAGTGTGTACACAATATTTTGCGTATATATACCATTAAGATTTGCTACGGTCCGGTTACCAGTCACCACTGTCCACAGTGTTTGTACATCATGTGAGAGCCAATTCAATGTAAGAATCAAACACACCTATCGGAAAGATGGTATTTATCGTGCTCCGATTGGCGTTTGGTTTGCCAAAGGTCTATAGATCTTGTATAGGGCATAGACCAATAAATAATAGAATGTGGAAGAGATTCGTATTATTTTTTCCAGACAAAAATAAACACATTTATACATATGTACTGACATACTTTTTTTAAAACAAAATACAAACGAGAAAGAAAATTAGAAGGCCATTTTTGAAATAAAACAGCAATACAGTATCCCACCTGAATCTGATATTTCGATTTTCGATCTGTTATTTATAGGCCCGGACACAATTTTGGATTTGTCCATAGTTCAAAATCAGTGTTTATTTATCGTACAGTTTGTTCCGGACATGGGGAACTCTCAGTGCAGGACATCTGTGTATGTGAAATTGGCTATTCTATTACATCTGACGGTTTAGGATGCACGGCAGAAGGGGAAGACGATGCAGATCATGATTATGATCATGATCACGAGGAGGAGTGTAGTGGGTATGAGCATATGCACGACGGTGAATGCCACTGCACATCGGGATATTAATCTGTGAATAGCAATGGAACTGCATGTGAATTAGCCTTAGAGCCAGAGTATTTCTTTTCATGGATATGTTGATAGAAAAGTACTTCAACACTACAACCAATCGCATATACGCTGATGGTATTGATAAGCTTATAGATAGTTGGTACCGCGACAACCGTGGCGGCCGACGACAAGTTATGTAGTGGCAACGGTCACTGGGACAGTACCGAGTGTCACTGCGATTCTGGTTATACGCTGAGTGAAGACGGCAGGCAATGCACTGCTTCTACAGCGAATATTCATCCATAATTTAAAACATAACCGACGCTATATTTCCAAATGTTCCAGAAATTGTCATGTCCTATATTCCAAAAGAATGATACAAATATACTAAGCCATAATTTTGTAGACAGTATTTTCGTATATTTTTCCGAAGTAGGCAAATATTTGCTTTGGTTTTATCAACCAAAAAAGCCCTATTTTGTTACAAAAAAAAATGCCATTTAGAACATTTCTAACGTCTAATTTACTTTTGACCTGCACATACTTTGTTGTATGTGCTCAGATTTTAACGCGTTAAATGGATAGAAGTTGGTATTGAATCTTGAAAGTGATCTGTCAGATAGAAGAGAAAAAAATGAATATCAGGCACAAAAATAAGCGTCAAAAATAAAATATCCAGTCTCTTTATAATTTTTAAAATTTGAAAGGCTATGTGCCTAAAAATGTGCCCTATGTAGTATGGAGTTTGGAGGCTATGGAACAAACACTGATCCGCTCCGGGTGATTTTCTCAATTTATATTTTGTATATCAAGAGATCGCCAGAGATTAAGTTGTATTTATTTAGGCCGGTTTTGCCATCATTTGATATGAATACACAAAGAGCAAAATAAATACCTTACTCCGGTAACTAAATCCATAGATTTTTTACGCGAGTCCATAATTTCTTCATAATTTCAAAATATTGAAGAAGTTTTGAATTTCATTTTTCAGTATTTCAAAACTTCAATATTTCATAAATTGTCAAAATTCCGTTGCCTTTGCCAGTTCCAAATTTTTACATTTTACGACGTAAAAATATTGAAGCAGTATTTCATTTTATTGTATATTAGTTTGAAAATGAATGAAGAAAGAGCATTCTAATTCTGGAATACTCTTTGGCTTTTGAGCGCGACAAAGTATATCACAAAACACTTGCGAATTTTGAGTTTTTGACACTTCTATTTGTAAATATATAAATTATGTATATGTACGTATTCTCCAGTTCTATTATAACTTCATCTTCTTGTAAATATATTACGTTTTGTTGGGCTTGGGTAGTATGTGCGGGGAAACAGGCTACAATGAAGAGTGCGAAGAATGCCAGCTGCAAGTAAGTAAGCAGCATATGGCTCGCCTATTTATAGTCGCGAATATATGCGTACATATACGTAACCAACGGAAAAATATTCTACAAACGTGTCAAACAAACTGACGTGTATGCGAGACCGCCAAAATTTCATAACGATACATAAGATCCAATAGAAATGTTTGGAAATGAAAGTCCAATAAAATCCTTTTGTTTATTTTGGGACCACTCACGGATAATTTCTTGTTTATTCTTGCTTTTGCCAACTGTTCAAATTGAAACACTCAGAGAATATTCATCCATAATTTAAAATATATTCGACGCTATATTTCAAAATTTTCCAGAAATTGTCATGTCCAATATTCCAAAAGAAATATACAAAAATACTGAGCCATAATTTCTTAGACAGTATTTTCGTATATTTTTATGAAGTTGGCAAAAGCGGCCTTATCTCACATTTTAACGCGTTAAATGGATAGAAGTACGTATTGAATCTTGAAAGTGATCTGTCAGATATAAAAAAAATGAATATCAGGCCATAGCCTTCTGTGTTTAATTTTCAGAAGGCTATGATCAGGCACAAAAATATACATAAATAAAAAAAGGCTAAGGTACATAATACAATATTTTATCAAAAAATAAATATAATCATAATCAGAATTCTAGTGTTTGTATCGAGAGGATCAAAACATCAGAAGCCTTTTGTAAAAAATCCCCCCCCTCCCTCATATAGTTCTGTAGTTTCCGCCGACGCAAGCGGTTTTTATTCTTTTTCTATATCAGCTCATTTTTTTTTAAATGTTTATTTTAAAAAAGCAAAAACACTACAAATATACAGTATGTATGTATCATTGTTTTTGTTTTAAAACAAATGTAAAACAAAAAGTAAAAAAGAGGTCTCGCCGACTCGGCCTTTTTGTTTTTTATTTCAAATGTCTTTTTTACAATATTCAATAGAAATTCTTTCATTTTATTTCTATAATCATTATTCTCGTCATATTTTTTTCCCTATAAAACTTCACCATATGGTACATAAACTACTATCTACATACTTTATTTACTTCTTTTCCTATTTCTTTAAAAAACCCAATCTATAAACTCCCCCTTTTTCAAAGCTTTTTAGTTCCCCCACCGACGAAAGCTTTTATTTTATTTTCTAGATTTTGCCTCCTGTGTTTGATTTTTTGTGTTTCATGATTGATTAACTGATTGTGTTTGACTGTTTGCGGCTTTGAGCCTTAGAGTTTGAGACTTTGAGGGCAAAACTTGAACTTGTTGTCAAACAAAGTGCAGATTAATATTTTCTCTACGGCTCCTTCTCGAATCCCGATATTCAATTTTACCAGAAAACCGAATAAACATACATACCATAATTCACAAATGTAACCATAACTTTCGAAGCCAGATTTTCAAAAGACATTAAGTACGGCCGTAACACGGTAAGTGAGGTAGCGGCAAGGAGCAGTATACCTCCGGACAGTTGTAATACTTGTCTGATTAGTGATTGCCAATGATGAACTATGCGATCACATAGCAAATATATTCATTGGTTAAAATTGTAATTTCAATTGAGATCACCTTTTGATTTTCTGACACTGTTCGCATCTTTTAAATTTGAGGACCGTCGTAAACTTTTAAAGTCTTAAACTAGTATGCCCTGCTCAACGCTCACGAAACGAGGATCATTGGAACAACCAAGTGGCAATATTCAGGTACTGCAGACTGTAGAAGTGGTAAGTTATGGACAGTTGTCTGTCAGGATGTCCCTGTAAACATTTCTGCTTTGGCTTTAGACTAGATCTCCGCTATGGGAAAGATCCCGTACTCAGAACTATTTACCTTAGCAACAGACTCGCCTTTTTCGTGTTCGATTCTACTATTCAAAGAGAAACCATGCCGACCGTCAAAAAACCCGTAAAACCACTTCAATTATCTATTCAATCGTAAATGCTATGCATGTAGGTATTTTTGAGATCATCGAGATATAATGTTGATTACGATTAAACTTCAATTTAAGCCTTAAGTTAAATAAGAACCAGTGTAAATCCATGCTGTGTTTCTTCAGTTAAGTTGCAAATATGGTTGTGGGGTTTTCTCGTGTACACTTGTATCTAAGTGTTCTCACCGCTTGTGCAGTATTGCGGTTGATTGTTGCCTCAGGTGGACGCTTTGAAGCATTCAAACCGAGTGTTCTTAGAAATAAACAATTGAGACTACGTCTATCGTGTCCAGTATAAGTAACCAGAGCCATCAGCGTGGGTCAAAGCCCAAAAGCGAGAATTTCACAAGCCGAACGGAGAAATCGGGAATCCCGGAATTTGTTATCTGAAATCGTTTTATTCCATGGAATTGGTCATTAGGATTGGTTTGAATTGGCGATTGCAAATATTGAACCGTTACAAAATTTGTACAGAGTCGGTCAGTTAGTGACCAGTACTCTTTTATTTATTGTTTTATGCTGATATCAACATAGTGACCTTTATTTACTCTCCACGATAGAAGAAAAAAATGATACTAGGCACAAAAATAAACATCAATAATAAAACATCCTCTCTTTATAATTTTTTAAATTTGAAAGGCTATGGGCCTAAAAATGTGCCCTATGTAGTATGGAGTTTGGAGGCTATGGAACATACACTGATCCGCTCCGGGTGATTTTCTCAATCAGGTCTTTGTGAGCATTTTCCTCGATCAAACGTCCGAATCGGGTCACTATTAGCGAGTGCTGTGCCTGGCTGAAGTAGGGGTGGTTTTTTTGTATAGACCTCTCGATTCAATACGTACCTCAATCCATTTAACGCGTTAAAATCTGAGCACATACAACAAAGTATGTGCAGGTCAAAAGTAAATTAGACGTTAGAAAGTTTTTAAATGGCCTTTTATTTTGTTACAAAATAGGGCTTTTTTGGTTGATAAAACCAAAGCAAATAATTTAAAATAAGAGATAAGGCCGCTTTTGCCAACTTCGGAAAAAAATATACGAAAATACTGTCTAAAAAAGTATGGCTTAGTAATTTTGTATCATTCTTTTGGAATATAGGACATGACAATTTCTGGAACATTTGGAAATATAGCGTCGGATATATTTTAAATTATGAGAAGATGAAGTTATAATAGAACTGGAGAATACGTACATATACTTAATTTATATATTTACAAATAGAAATGTCAAAAACTCAAAATACGCAGGTGTTTTGTGATATGCTTTGTCGCGCTCAAAAGCCAAAGAGTATTCCAAAATTAGAATGCTCTTTCTTCATTCATTTTCAAACTAATATACAACAAAATGAAATACTGCTTCAATATTTTTACGTCGTAAAATGTAAAATTTGAAATTGGCAAAAGCAACGGAATTGCCAATTTATGAAATATTGAAGTTTTGAAATACTGAAAAATAAAATTCAAAATTTCTTCAATAGTATGAAATTATGAAGAAATTATGGACTCGCGTAAAAAAATATGGATTAAGAAACCGGAGTAAGTTATTTTGCTCTCTGTGTATTTATCATCGCAAAATTTTCAAAAGATGGCAAAACCGGCCGAAGTAAATACAACTTTAAATCTCTGGCGAACTCTTGATAAACAAAATAATATTTTAGAAAATCGACGCTCTCGCGTCATCACATGTCCATCAGATTGTATCAAAATATCTATAAAATACCGAACATCTCTAGACTCTTGTTGAATTTGATGCAATCTAAAATCGGCCCTGGCAGTCTGGCACGGGCTGGCACTTGGTATTCTAGTAAACTATCTCTAGAGAGTCTAGTATACTCTAGCACCACAAGCCAAGTCCAGTCACAACAGTCTACAGGTCCACACTCCACAGTCTGTATCACCGAGACCATACTCCACAGTCCACACGTTCGTGTTGTCACAACTCACAAGCCTACTATTTGAAAAAAAAACTAATGAGGCATCATGTGTCGAATAGTACAATTACCACGCAAAGTAAAGCCAGTGTAATTTAAATTGATTAACAGGTATTTTGTGGTAAGGCACTGTGCTGAATTTAGCGTTTTTCCAAATATACCATACCACGCCAAGTGATGAAGAGACAAAACGTATAATTATTGAATGTCTGAGAACTATGATTCGGCTGACGTGACTAGGATCGGCTGACGTGAATCACGAACTATCGAAATAAAGCGAAATATCGAGATCAAACGAATTTTGTCGGTTTTTGATATATTCTTTCTTTTAGTATTTCAAATACAAGGTTGCGATGAAGCTCAGACCATGGTCTGACTTCCTTCTTTTAGGTTCCGGATGTCCACAGCCTCAGACATCGCCATGATAATAGGTCCGTTATCGGTCTCTCAATGGTACTCAACTGTTGAACGCCCACTATGGGCATACACTTCCTGGTGTTGTTATCTTGTTTTTTCTGTGAAATGTGATGTATTGTTCTCTCGCCCCACTGAGAACACATCGGTCAGCGAAGGTCCATAATTCATGGATCGAGCTATCGATCAATTCTTATAACGGGCGGAACTCGGTACTACAAACTCCGCTTGCGCGTTACCGTCCTCTATAGAACATCCTTCCCGCGAGGGCGAAAGGGCAAATAGATAAGACAGCCATTCTAAATTTTTCATAATAATAATAATATAATAAAGGCCTTAACTCGGCTACGTTGATGCTCCACCGGAAACGGATGTTGACGTAAAAACGTGTGACGCTGGCGAGAACGTCATACTTCCCGTTCCTTGGTTGGGTTGTGTGTGCGGCCACTCTATCCCTCGCGTAACTGCTGTGTCCATCTACAGGGTAAGTAAATAACAGGCGATAGATACTTAGACAGGCAGAAGTGCAACTAGAACACCCTACACTGCGAGAAGCACACAACCGAATACAACCGAGTTTCACAAAAAAAAAAGAACCAAAACAGGCGAATAATTTGAAATGTACATGGATATTGTATCCGACGAGCTATAAATTGGTTTATATTAATACCAGCTATAGACTGGGATATCATAATATAGACTAGTATATGCAAGATACAAGACAGCGCACAGGATGTCTGAATTCGAAATATGGCACAGCATAGATACGGGACACCTGGTACTCAATTTCTGTACTGCATACCTGATCACACCACTCCATAACCAGGTTGTTCAACACCGCCACAATCAAGCGCACGACGAAGATGACGAAGAAGACGGAGGCGGCGGTATGCGAATCAAAGCTTTTGAATGTCTTCCGTCTCGACCCGTATGATTTCCTAGTGTCGTACGACTCCATATTGATTTTCTTGTATTTGGCACTGACACTTGCGTTTAAAATGTACAAACTTTACAGCGTGGATTGAAGCAGCTGAATGTAGTATTTTCTTCATGTACCTCTTTCTTTAAATATTTTGTAGTTTATATCAGTGTGTACACAATATTTTGCGTATATATACCATCAAGATTTGCTACTGGCCGGTTACCAGTCACCACCGTCCACAGTGTCCGGTGTGGTCGAAATTTGATATTGTGGGAGACCTACACAAGGGAAACCCTAAATCCGTGGTGTAGGTACAGATTGACCAATAGGAAAATAGAGTATAACACGAAAAATCATGACTCCAGAATTTTCGGCCTACTTGGCCGTATCTTATGGGTATACCTATTGGGGCACTTTTTTTACTTTGCGCCATGGGACAGAGTCAGAGTACAGACGCCATGCCCTGTGGCTGTGACAGGCTGTGACTCCTGTGAGGCTGTGTGTGTGACTGTTGTGACTTGTGACTGTGTGCGCCGCACTGCGCCACGGGCCGTATATTACTCAACCCATGTCACACCTTTCCATTCTATTTATAGATACAAATAGGACATACACACAAAAAAATTGAAAATGATGTTATATTTTACCTGTTGAAACTCGTGCTCCCATTGTTGCTCCGCCACCTCCCTGGTGAGGCTGGTGTTGTGGCTTTTCTAAAACAAATTTTGAAATTTGAAAAACCCACAAATATTTTTGTCTTTGTTTTTTACTTTATTGTTGCAGTAAGAGTCCAGAGACTCACAATCACACACGCACAAGAGAAGAGAGAAGTGTGAAGAGAAGAGACTGAGAGACGTCCCTCTCTCTCTCT